GTCTGGCACAAGAAAATATCTTACAGGTTGTGAGGATTAAGTAAAATGGTAGACATGGGAACAGAGTCCATACTTAATAATTTAGCGTCCTATTGCCAAATTCTAGACTCTTCCTCATCCCGAAGCCTTGGGACAAGTAAATTCCCTTTTCTGAGCCTCCTACCTTCCCCTCTGAGAAACAGACTCTGATAGGGGCACCTGGGTGGCTCAGTCGGTTAAGCATCTGCCTTTGGCTTGGCTCATGGTCCCAGAGTCCCAGAGTCCCAGGGTCCTAGGATCGAGCCCTCCATCCAGCTCCTTGCTCAGTGGGGGGCCTGCTTCTCCCTCTCTCTCTGCTGCTCTCCCTGCTCATTCTCTCTCTCAAATAAATAAACAAATCTTAGGGGCGCCTGGGTGGCTCAGTCGTTAAGCGTCTGCCTTCGGCTCGGGTCTTGATCCCGGGCTCCTGGGATCGAGCCGCACATCGGGCTCCCTGCTCAGCGGGGAGCCTGCTTCTCCCTCTCCCACTCCCCCTGCTTGTGTTCCCTCTCTCGCTGCCTCTCTCTCCCTGTCTTGACAGAGAGAGAGAGAGAGAGAGACAGCCCGCTGAGCAGGGAGCCCGATGCGGGGTTCGATCCCAGGACCCCAGGACCATGACCCGAACCGAAGGCAGACGCCTAACGACTGAGCCACCCAGGCACCCCTAAATAAATAAAATCTTAAAAAAATATAAAAAATCTTAAAAACAAACAAACAGAACATTAAAAAAAAAGGAAGAAACAGACCGATAGTCTAATGTGCAGCTTGGTTTTGTGGGCTCAGTGATTTGTTTAAGGTGTCAGTAGCAGTAGAGGGCGCTGTTGGGGCTTTTATTGCGATTTAAGAGGCTGCAAAGGGGAAAGCTAAGTGGACCTTCCTCCTCTCGCCTTCCGGCAGCTGAGTGCACGGTTATGGGCATCCCCAGTATCTCCACCAACCTCTCCGGCTTCGGCTGCTTCATGGAGGAACACATTGCAGACCCCTCAGCTTACGGTCGGTGCCCAGACTGAGAGCCGAGACTCTTGGATCCAGGGGGAAGAAGGGGTGGGCTCCTGGTCCCGGGGGGAGGAGGAGTCCTGGCGCCAGAGAGTCCCTGGAAGAATGAAGGTTTCCTTGGTCTGATTTCTGAGCCCCCGTCGTGGCCCCCACAGGCATCTACATTCTGGACCGGCGGTTCCGCAGTCTGGATGATTCCTGCTCGCAGCTCACCTCCTTCCTCTACAGCTTCTGCCAGCAGAGCCGGCGGCAGCGCATCATCCAGCGAAACCGCACGGAGCGCCTCTCAGACCTTCTGGACTGGAAATACCTAGGCCGGGTATGACTCCCTCCCACGGCCTCTGCTGGTGAATCGGCCGCCTCCGGCTCTGGGTCTCTCATTCCTCAGCCTCCAAGGCCGCCGCGGGAGGCAGCCTCCTTCCGCCTGTAACAGTCGCTGTCCCTTTAAGAAATTAACCAGCTTTTGCAGGTAGACCACATTGGTGGCAATTACCTTCCTCGCATAAGTGTATAGCGAAAGAGGTAACCTACTTAAGGGAATTATGCCCCTGTTAATGAGGTGTGGCTCAGAGACAGTCCGTTCACAGCTTTGCTTATCTACTTAAGGAGTGGAGCCAGAAAGATGGATAATTGGCGTAGGGGCCAACTGGAACGTGCCAGAGTGTGCTCATTTGCATAGAGAGTGTGGCTAGGGTCCGCCTCCTTCTATCTATGCCGGGGGCGGGGTCTGGCTCGCGTTCCCTGACGCCCCCTCCCTTTCTTTTCCCCAAGTACTATATGTCTGCACGCCACATGGCGCTGGCCAAGGCCTTTCCGGAACACTTCACCTATGAGCCCCACGAGGCTGACGCGGTGAGTGGACCCCGATCTCTGATGCGCCCGGAGCTAGAGGGCTGGGGTAGGGGCGCGTCCCTCCTGGAGTGGGAAGATGCGGGGGAGGGGGGAACCGTAGGAGGCCTCTGCTCATTCTGCGGTTTGTGCCCACCCCCCCCACCCCCCGTAACGCAGACCCAGGGCTACCGCTACCCACGGCCGGCCTCAGTGCCACCATCGCCCTCGCTGTCGCGACACTCAAGCCCGCACCAGAGTGAGGATGAGGAGGAGCCCCGGGATGGGCCGCCTGACGTAGACGAGGAGCGCTACGACGAGGACGAGGAGGCAGCCAAGGACCGGCGCAACATCCGCGCCCCCGAGTGGCCGCGCCGCGCCTCCTGCGCCTCTTCCACCGGGGGGAGCAAGCGCAGCTCGGTGGACACGGCGCCCTCCAGCTCGCTCAGCACTCCCAGCGAGCCCCTCAGCCCTGCCAGCTCCCTGGGCGAGGAGCGCAACTAAGTCCGCTGCCCCACACTCCCGGCCCATCCTGCCGCCCTCGTCCAGAGGATGGATGCAGGAAGGCGCTGTTCCGAAACCCCACTCCAGATCCCGAACCCTCCTGGGGGTCCACAGCCCCGCCCCCTCCGCCATACACTCCAGCCTCTCTAGCTCCCCTCTCGGAATCCCCAACACTCCAGAATCCACAACGCCGTGCCTTTTCTGGGTTCCAGAATGCATAATATGCGCCCTGGAGTCCTTCAGGCCTGGCCCCGGGCGCCAGGGGCCAGGAACCTGCCATTTCCCTGCCATGGTGCCAGAGGTTTTAGGAAGCCTGGTCTGTTGCCTTCCGGGCGGGGGCTCCTAGAGCCCTTTGTGGCTTGCTAATTTTATAGCCCACAAACCAATCCACGCTCAGGGCTGGCCCAACGGCCAGCAAGCCCTGGAAACCATGTGGTTTCCCTGCTAATGGGACAATCAAGTCCAAAGCTGGGGCACTTTCAGGGACTTAACTGAATGCAGAAGGTCCTCCATTTCAACTCCAGAACTCAGGCTCCAGACCAGGGCACTCCCCTGTTTACTCTGATCTGGTTCTTCCTGGTGTGTCTGGTTCTGCCTGGAGGGCCCCTCCACCCCTGCTCTCCTCTTTCTCCTTACTTTGGCCAATGGGGTGGTGGTGGTGCAGAACCACTTGGCTTCTCATTCCTGTTGGAGAATATGCAGTCTTGGTCTAGATGCCTCTCTGGCCTTTTCTGAACCAGACCTTTGTCCTCTTCCCTGAGTCTGAGCTCTCCTCCTTACCTTGAGATTCCTGTTCCCTCCAGGGATTCCCCTGCTGCGGACAGAACTGGCTGTCTACCCCAGCCCCAAGCCCCAAGCCCTAGGCCCACCACGAAACACTGGGTTCTAGGTCCCGGCTGCTGAATCTAGAACCTTACCACTGTGCTGCTTCCTGGTCCCTTTCCCCTGGTCTAGAACTGAACCCACTAGGTTCTAGAACTTTCATATTTACCTCCAGGCTCTTCCATCCTTAAGCTGTGCCCTGCCCCCAGCTTTGGTGAAAGGGAGGGGCCCTTCGTGTGTGCTGTGTCTGATGCACTTGGTTTGCAGTTGGGGGGGGCAGAATGGGGTGTGATTGATGTGTGTCCAGAGATGAAAAAAATACATCTATATTTAAGAATCTCAGGTTTGGTCCACTGTGAGGGCTTAAGGGGCCTCGCTCCCAGCCCCTGCCTCCTCTTGGCTTCTCTACCTCTTTACCTCCTTTATTCTCCGCCACCCGCCCCCCCGGCCCCACCTGCCCACCCGAGTCCCTAATACCTTGTCTCATTCGGCTGTCTTGGAGAGACTTGGATTGCCATTCTAGATTCTAGTTTTATTTCAAGGGAAGGCACCTCTGTTTTGTTGGGACTTGCAGGCGGGCATAAATTTGGCTCAAAGGGGCTGTGTCACTAGAAAATAAAGACCCACGGGTAGCCACAAGCCCTGTGTGGCTATTTAAATGAACCAGATTCCTCAGTAGCACTAGCCACATGCAACTGCCCAGTAGTCACTGTGGCCACATAAGTCTCATAGCTACACAAGTGAACAGTGCAAATACAGAATATTTTTTTAAGATTTTATTTATTTGAGAGAGAGAGAGGGCATGAGGAGGGGAGGGGCAGAGGGAGAAGCCGACTCCCCACTGCAGGGAGCCTGACATGAGTCTCGATCCCAGGACCCTAGGATCATGACCTGAGCCTTTGGCAGACGCTTAACTGACTGAGCCACTCAGGCGCCCCCAGAATATTTTCATCATTGCAAAAAATTCTGTTCGACAGCTCTAGCTTAGAACATGTTTCAAGGACACTGACCTCTGGACTTTAGCCCTACTGTCCCCTGAATGGCTCTATTTTCCAGGAAAAATGTTTTCAGTTCTAGTCTTCGCTAGGAGTGCACCTGCAAGCCAATCACGTTTCAGGGGAGTAGAAAACTGGATTTGCGTGTGTGACCATCCTTCCTGTTAACTGTGTTGGTGGTGATGGACACACAGAAGCCCCCTCCCCTGTCAGAATCATTAGTGGCCACCAAAGTGTGGTGACAACAGCAGGTGCTGAGTGTCCGAAAGAACAAGTGTCCAGGAGCCACTTCCTCTTAGATTCTTCAACCATAAACCAGAGAAGGGGCAGGGGGTCAGAGTTCAGTTTCATAGCTTGGATCCAGCAGCTGCCTGCTAAGCCTTCAGTTCCCACTTGGGAGAATTTAATCCCCCAGTTTCACATCCCGTTTCTTTTCTGTGCTCCAAACCCCTAGCTCAGCACCTCTTGCATTATCATGTGCTCCTGTTGCTTGACAACTGTTACTCATCAGATCCCGTTATCTGGTTACACTTTGTTATTTCCAACAGTGCCCGCTTCCAGCTACCAAGCCTAGGTCTTTTAGACTCTCCTTGGAGTCTAGGCTCTGCCCTGTAGGAAAGACAGTTAACAGCCCAGCCAAGCAGAGAAGCTGCTACTCCACCACCCTCCCACCCCTAGGTTAAGATTAGAGTTTAGAGTAACAGCCAAGATGGGAGGCGGGGCCAACACCCGGCTCCCTGCCAGGGCAGTCCAACTATAGCCTTGTGAAAATAGATACCACCTCATTTCCCACACCATACACGCGAGCACAACAAAAACACACCCAAAACCACCAGCTGCTGCAAAAAGCTTTATTGTTTCCACTTGGTCCACGGCTTGGGAGAGGGCTCCAGGGTGGTTAAAAAGCTGCCTCGTGGCTGCAGGGAAGAGGCTGAGGCACAAGCTCTGGCACCAGGGGGCTGTCAGAGGGGCCCCCTCAAAGGCTGCTGGTATCCAAAGGCTCCTAGTCGTGCTTGAGAGTGAGCCTCTCGAAGAGATACTCGCCCAGTCCAGCCTGGGGGCCGGCCAGCCTGCGGAGGTTAGTCAGGTGGTCGCCCATCTTCTTGATGAGTTTCACCTCCTCATCTAGGAAGTGGTTCTCCAGGAAGTCACAGAGCTGAGTGCCAGAAGAGGAGAAAACGTTGCCACTTACGTATCCACAGTGTGACAGATGGGGAAATGAGGCTCAAAGGGAAATTTGCCCAATTAAGTGTGGATGAAGGGAGTACTTACATGGGGGTCTGCGCGGGCAGAACCCAGGGCATGCAGATCCAAAAGGGCCTGGTTCAGGCTCTTCTCCAGAACGAGGGCAGCTTCCATGGCGTCCAGGGTTTTCCCCCACTCATCTTGGGACGGCTTCTGTACAGAGGACAGAGAGCTCAGAACTAGCTAAATAGACCGCAAAAGCGTCTAAGAGCTTGCACCTATCGCGCCCAGGCTCCTACAACTACCCATCCCAGGAGACCCCGTTGCGGTGTGGACAGCTACGTCTTCGGGAAAGTGTGCGCGCCTCCATTTTGCGCCGCACGAGAGTGAACACAATCGTCCAGAAGCCCACGCGGGGCCTACACCGTTACGGTCAAGGCGCTGGGCGCGCGCACGGACTACCGGGACCTGTAGTCCGCTGCCCGCACACTACTTACCTGGACGTCCTGGAAGAGGGCGCGGCCGCCACGCTGGTTTTGCATCTTCAAGAGACGCTCGGCGCCCTCGCGCTTCTCCTCGGCCAACTCGCGGAAGAAGTGGCCCACACCTTCCAGAGCCACATCGTCACGGTCGAAATAGAAGCCCTGCGGGAAGGGACGCGCGAAAAACAGTTTGCGGGAAGAAAGGTCGGCCAGGAGCCCGGACTCCGCCCTCCGACTACCCTATGGGACAAAGGCGGCCAGCGCGTGCGCAGAAGGCCGGAGGTGCGCACTTGGGGGCAACTTAGGCTGGGGGCGTCCTGGGGACCCTCACCAGAGAGAGGTAGGTGTAGGAGGCCCGCAGATGCATGTTGACCAGGCGGTTGACGGCGGCCTCCACCTCGGTGGAATAATTCTGACGAATCTGGGAGCTCATGGTTGATTGGTGGTAAGGTAAGCTCGAAATTGGCTGTTGGCTGGTCCCGGAGGCAGCGGGTGGCCAAGAAGATGGCTCCCAAGGTTGCGACTGGAAAAGAGGTTGGAGAGTGGTCGTTTACTGGCTGGAGGGGCGTCCCTGGGTCTGTTCCGTCCAAACACTGTTGAAGCAAGAAACAGATCCGCAGGACCGCCGGGCGCACTGCTAGAGGCCGTGGCCAAGGCGGCTTCTTTTATAGCGCGCGGGCCATCGGAGGTGGGGCGCTCAGGGAGAGCGATCGGCCAACCCGCGGTGCTGGAAGGCGGGGCTTAGGACCAGCTATTGACCAATCCGAGCTGATAGGAGTCCCAGACCCCCGCCCAGAAGTGGGGAAGTCACGCGCCAGTAGCGCGAGGTTGTTGTGAAATGGGGAAGCGGAGGTGGGGGGTGGGTTGCGGGGTGTAAGGGTCCTGGGGCTGATTCTGGGGCGCCGGGTTTGTGGGGGTCTCCCTGGTAGGTGGAAGGTTGATGGGGACACTGGGAGCCCTGGAAAATTATGACTCTGGAGTCTTGGGGTTGTCTCAGGAAAGTAGATTGGATTCTGGGCTTGTTTCTTAGAGCATGGACCTTTCTGGAGCCCTGGAGGCTTCTCAGAGGTGCGGAGACCTCCAGATGACTGGGGTTTGCTCTGGAAGATAAGGGGTCCCCGGATCATTAAGAAGTTTGGAAGGCGGTGCGGTGAGATATTTCTGGAATCTTGGGGATCTCTCCGATAGATGGATTGAAAGGGGGGACCTGGAGCCCTGGGGTTCACTCAAGGATTGGGAATTTCTGTAGCACTAGAGCTCAGGTTGGAAGTCCTTATTTTCTGGAATCTTACCCTGGGAGAGGGGTGGCGGTGTGTGTGTGTCTTTAGACGCATGAAGTGATCTTCAAGATTAAAAGGACAGTTCTACAGCCTTGTGGGGTCCTCCTGCAACCCCCCCAATTGGGGACTGGGATATTTCTGGAAGCCTCGTAAGGGATTTTCTAAGAGGTAGGAGGTCTTTGGAGCCTTTGAAAGATCGGGCCATTTGGAATACCTTGGGGCTATTTCAGGGGCCTGTTTTTCTGGAAGCTGACATGCATAAGGTAAGGCTGAAATGACACTCAAACTTTAGGGTCTCTCTCAGGCTGCTTTTCCTGGAGACTATTCTGAGGGCAGCCAGAGACTTGGAATTCTCTTTGGCTCTGAAGCAGTCCCTGCCTTGTTTAACACATGCTTCTTGAAGGTCCCAAAGAGAAGCCCTGGATCCTGGGGAAACAAGGAGGGTCTGCGGACCTGTGGATGGGATGTGTCTTTAACCAACGTACATTTTTTAAGTCTGTCAGTTGCAGGCTGGTGTCTGGGAAGCAGAGCTGGCTCAAACCAGGACTCTGCCCTCAAGGAACTCCCCGTCCTAGAGGGGTGAAAGGAGAGAAAGACAGGAACTTGACCCTATTTTCAGTGCCCTAATGAGGGTAGCCAGTGGGTTGGGCAGGGGAGCTGAAGCCACTGAGGCCTGCTTTACAGGGGGGGCCACTCCAAACAGCCCAGGCAGGGGACTGTCTCCTGACCCAGGGGTTGCTGGACCAGGCTGGTATCTGGGGTCCTTAAGGGGCACGTGGGCCGGTGGCCAGGGAAGCAGCAGTGCTGAGTCATGCTGAACTCAGCAGGAAGGGTCTCAGGCAGAGGTGGGGTGGGGCCACTGACTGACCTCGTGTCCATGGCAGACTGCAAACAGGCTGGGACCCTGAGAACTAGGCCTGGCTGGGAACCAGGTCTGGCCCACTCCCCCAAGATGCGAGTGTGCTTTGTCTCTGAGTCTTACAGTCTTTTTAGTTGCCTTGATGTTTTCCCTGGTCTCCTGCCTGTGGTCACACTGGCCCCTCTCTCTGGGCAGTTGACTCAGTCTCCCGTCACTGCTATCTTATCTGTCAGCTCTCCGCCTACTTGGTGTCTCTGGGGGAAGTCTCTGGGGGAGGGGCAGTTGCCCCAGGCACACAGTCACAATAGGGCCTGAGTTACTCATTCACTCATTCATACCTCAGGTTAAAGACCTTTAGCCTCCCGTAGGCCCCACTGGCAGAGAGGTGGCTTCTTCAGAAGTGCTCACAGGTAGAGGGAGAGGAAGTGGGGAGACAAAAATGATCTGAAAAAGGACTGAGATCTTGGGGGTGAGGGGTAGATCATGGGATGGGGGAAAACAAGAGGCCCAGAGAGACAGAGGACAGAAAGACCTAGAGACGGGGGAAGAGACCCAGAGAGAAGGTACAACAGACCCTATGACCAAGTGATCTTTTTTTTTAAAGATTTTTTTATTTATTTTATTTGAGAGAGAGAATGAGAGAGAGAAAGCACATGAGATGGGGGAGGGTCAGAGGGAGAAGCAGACTCCCTGCCGAGCAGGGAGCCCAATGCGGGACTTGATCCAGGGACTCCAGGATCATGACCTGAGCCGAAGGCAGTCGCTTAACCAACTGAGCCACCCAGGCGCCCACGACCAAGTGATCTTAATCTCTATTTCCTTTTCTGTGCCCAATCTACAAGGCAGCTTTCCAGCATCTTCACTAGGGCCTGCTTTCCTGGAGGGTCCCACCCAGTTACTGGGCCAGCCCCTCCCCACGCAAGAGGTGTCCAGCCCTGTCCCCTCAGGCCACACAGCACTGGCTCTGGCCTTGTCCTCTCTCTCAGAACCCCAGATTCCAGCCTTCTGACCTCCAGTAGCTTCTCCACAGGGCTCTAGAGCTCTCTCCTGGTCCAGTAAGTCCTCTCAAGGCCTCCCATCTCTCCCCTCTCCCCCCGATTCTCCACCTCAGTAAGTGCAACTTCCTCTGGTCCCATATGGTGGAAACTTCCAAGCCCTAGTTCTCCAGGGCCTGCTGCACTGTTCTCTTTCCCTAAAGCCCCAGGCTCCACTGCTTGGCTTGGCCTTGCCCAGTGCTGCCTCCAACACAACACTGTAGGCTTCCACACAGTGATCTTCAGTTCCCTCAGGACCGCATGCTCCTGGAGGGCAGAGTGGAGACCTAACTCCTCAGTAACTCAGAGGGCACCAGGCTCCTTCGAAAAAGATTTGTCAGCACATGAAGCCTGGTCTCCTGTGACAGCCAGGGAGTGGGCTCCCAGTGATTCAGACTCTGAAGTGTGGCCTGAAAGAGGTTTATTGCCCCCCTGGACCACTCCTCCCCGTTCCCCCCCGCCCCAATAATTACAAAAGTAAGAAAAATGCCCATGACCCCCAATCCCCACCCCTCCCGGAAAAATGCCATAATTTATGCAGAAAAGACACAGTCCAAGGCAGCTGGTGGCCTCAGCCCATCTTTTTCCAGATGGTGAGTGATGCAGTGAGCACTCCAGCCACGAAGATGGTCACTGTCTGCCATGTGGGTGTCCCAAAGTAGGAGAGCAGGCCGTCCTGTAGACAGGGACATCAGTCACTTCAGCAGCTGGGCCAAGGTGCAGCCCTTGGGCCAGCACAGGAGGAAATCAGGGAGTGAAGTGGTCATAGGGCATGAGTGGGGGCAAGAGTCTAAGATGAATGGATATCAAACAGCTGGCATCAAAGGGCTATCAAAAAACTTGAGGGACTCCAGAGGAAATGGAGGCACCAGGAAGGACAGAAGGTACTAATTAGGTCAGAGGTCACTGAGAGGACAGAGGTCACCAGGAGGTCAGGGGTCACCAACAGGTCAGTGGATAGCAGACAAATTAGGAGTTGATCAGACATGAGAGGAAATGCATTACAGACCCCATTTGATGATCCAGAGTCAGAGAGGGCAACACTGGTGGGCTCAGGGAGACCCAGGGGTCTCGGAGGAGTGCGGGAGGGGTTAGGGGCCTCACCCAACCACCCTGGTCCTGGATCCAGCCCAGCAGCCGCTCTCGAAGGAAGTCCAGTGTCCAGCCCATAATGGTCCTGATCAGCTCGGGCACCTTGGTACACAGGGCCTGCAGGGAGTAGGGTGGGCCTTAGGGACTGAGCCTTGTCCCCACTGTCTGGGGACAGTGGCCCCAAGCCTCCTTTCTCAACTCTGCCTCCCCTCATGCCCCACTGCAGTCTCCTTCCACTCATACTCAGAATGAGATTCATAAACTGTAAACTGGATCTTGTTGCGGTCAACTGCCCTGCTCACATACCTTCCATGGCTCCCCAGGTGGTAAAGACCAAAAGGCATATCCTAGCCCACAAGGCCCTGTATGAAGGCTCTGACTTGATCGCATTCCAGTTTTCCACTTCTTTTTTGCGTCTCATTTACCTTCTTCCATATCTTCATTCCCACCAACTCTTCCCTGCCTCAGGACCTTTGCACATGCTGATTCTTCTACCTAAATGTGCTTCAACAAAGCAAATTTTTACTCCTCCCTCAAAGCTCTCATGTCAGGTCTAATGTCAATTTCTCCAGAGAGGGCTTTTCTGACCTTCAGGCTAGATAGGACCATGCCCATGACTCTCCAACTCCCTGAACTTCCCCTTCCCACTCTGGCTGCTTTCCTCCCTATTGTCCCCAGCACCTTACACAGCCCCACCATCACTCTGAGTGCTGTCCCCCTCACCTCCAACATTCAAGCCTCATCAGCTCAATCTGGCAAAGACATTAAGAAATCTACTCCCGGGGGCGCCGGGGTGGCTCAGTCGGTTAAGCGGCTGCCTTCAGCTCAGGTCCTGATCGGGATCCAGCCCTGCATCGGGCTCCCTGCTCAGTGGGAAGCCTGCTTCTCTCTCTCCCACTCCCCCTGCTTGTGTTCCCTCTCTCGCTGTCTCTCTCTCTCTGTCAAATAAATAAATACAATCTTTAAATAATAATTAAAAAAAAGAAATCTACTCCCTGCCTCCACTGCTACCAGCGGAGGCCAGGTCAGTCATCATTCACCAGAACTACTACAGGTGCCTCCTCCCGGCTTCCCAGCTTTTGCCCCATATCTTTTTTCCTACCCACAATGGCCCCCCCAAAATTGTTAGGCTTCCGTTCCCCCGATGTTTTAAAGTTAAAAGGATTTCACAATGAACGGCCATATGCCTACAGCCTAGATTGTACAATTAACGTTTTGCTTACTAGAACAATCCTTTAAATTTATAAATCAGGTCACCTCACTCTCCTGTTTAAAACCAGCCAGTCACTCCCCTCTCACCCATGGCAAAGTTAACATCTTTAACATCAGTTGTGGGGGGGCCCTCACAAGACCCCTTGCAATCTGCCCTCAACGCATCAGCCTTGGTCCTGCCTCATGGCCTTTGCACTTGCTGTGGCCACCACCAGATGTCTTTCCCCCTGATCTTCATAGATCACCGCAATGTTGGCTTTAATGTCACTCGCTCTTAGAAGTTGTTCTGACCATTTTGCATTACATCATCCTAGTTTACTTCTCTCAGCACCCATTGGACAATGTGAGCTCCAAGAGAGCAGGGATCTAGCCTGCTGTTTGGTGCTGCATCTCAGGTGCCGAGTACAGGTTGGGCACATAGTAGGCCAATAAATCCTGCATGAGTAAATGAAGGAGCAAACCAGCCCATAGCTCTCTCCATTCCCTTTGGTGAGTGGGCTGCCACAGGGGTTGACCTCACAACCCCTAGGTCCTCATAGGTCTGAGTGGAGCTTCCCTGGGCTCACTGCCCTGCAGCTGCCCACCTTGAGCACCAGTTTGCTGGCAAAGTAGAAGAGGGCAACAACCCGGCCCCAGTTGAAGTTGCCATCGGAAAACATGTCAGCTGCCACTCGGAAAAAGACCTCACGGGGGGAGTCTGTGTCCACGGCTGCGATCATCCTGCAGGAAAAGAGGAGAGCCAGTGCTGGGGAAGAAAGATCAGGCAGGGTGTGGAGACCCTGGCATCTACCTCATACCAAAGACATAGAAACTGAGGCCCAAGCCAGGCCGACATAAAAAAGAAGGGGCCAACATGGGGGAAAGGGACAAGATGGACACTTAGGAATGTGGGGAAAATGACTCCCTGAGGGAGGGTTTCGATATTCTAAAGGAGGGAAGGGCTGAGAGTCCAGGGTGCTGAGCAGAGTTGGGGGTGGGGGGGCTGGACCCCTGGGCTGAGGAAGACGGGGACCAGTGGCTGGACTCCTGGGGCCCAGGGGCCACACCTCTGTAACTCCATGTTACTGTCCAGTTCATCTCCAATGCGCTTGAGACACTCGCTCAGCTTCTTGGTGGATGCATCCTGGGGCACCTGCTCCAGGGCCAGCTCAGGTGTCTCTCCCCCCATTCGCCCTGCTCGATCTTGGATGAAACTAGAGTGGGAATGGAGTGTGGGGGGGTGCAGAATCAGAATGGGGCATCACTCCTCAAATCCGCTCGGCAATAATCACACCTCAAACTCACCCCTGAAGCAAAAGGGCCCCTGTCTTCATGATCTGCTCAGAGCTGGTGGGCCCTAGAGGAGAAAGGAGGGAAGAGGTGCCTGGACTCTTGGGTCCTAGGGGATCCAGGGAACCAGGGTGGCTCATGATCTCTGAGGACAATACTAGGGAGTCCTGCATTTCTGGGTTCCTCGTAGATACAGTGGCTAGGGGCCCAGACAACTGAGTCTCTGATGGAGAAAAAGGCAGGGAGCCTAAGCCAGTATCCTAAGTTCTTCCGGTGGAGGCGGCTGAGGGAACACTTCAAGCATCCAGACCCCTGGCCTGAGGGGACAGAAGAGAGACCCGCCCCTCCCACCAGGAAGTGGTGCCGGCGACAAGCCCAGGCCTGCCCCGGGGGCTTGGATTCTGTGGTCTCTAGCTTCTCGGCGGTCCGAGAGCACCAGGCAGGAAGGAATCGGGGCACGGAGGCCAGAGAGCCGGGAACCCCCGGGGAGGGAGGGGGCTGGAAGCTGGCAGCGCCCGATCCGGGAGTTTCTGCCCCGGAGTGCTTGGAGATCTCACGGCCCCAGACCGGCAGGAGGGATCGTGGGGCCGGCCGGCGAGGGGGCTCGCCCTCCTCCCGCCCGTCTGCCTGCCGCCTCACCCCCGCCTCTGGGTTGCTCCCCGGACCCGTCCATCACCGCCGCTCCCGCCGCCGCCTGTCGCCGGGTCCGCCCGGGCGGCCGCAGCACGCCCCTGGTCACGTGACCGCCCACTGAGCGTGCGTCCTCTCACGTGACCGCCCCGCAAAATGGCGACCGCCCGCTGTCGCCCCGCAAAATGGTGACCGCCCGCTGTCGCCCCGCAGGGCCGTGCGGTCACGTGACCGCACGGGCCTCTTCTGCGGGGGAGCCTCGGCCCCTATCACGTGACCGTCCAATCCGTACTTCTCTGTAGGAACCGGTCGTGGCGCCCTTCTACGGGCCACCCGTTTCATGGCAGCTTTAACTTTCATTCATTCATTCGTGCAGCATTTTCGGAAGTTTCAGGTAGGATTTGAGCCCTCCCCAGGGCAGAAGGAACATCGGAGGCCAAAATTATCATTCACTGAGGTAGGACGTTTCAGATGATTAAAGTCTGTGAGTTGTTTTTGTGAAAATAAAAGGAATATAAAGTTCAAAAAGTGGCAAAACTAATCTATGCTGATAGTTTGGCAGGGTATGAAAGGGGAAGGACCCCGAGACATGCACCTGTGGTGGTGGGGGGTGCTGAAATGAGCTGTATGTTGATCTAGGTGATGATTACCTGGGTATACACATGTTGAAAAATTCATGCAACTGTACATACGAAATGCGCACTTTACTGCATGGAAATTATTATATCTCTTTTTAAAAAGAAAAGAAAAAAACTCAGGGCGCCTGGGTGGCTCAGTTGGTTAAGCGACTGCCTTTGGCTCAGGTCATGATCCTGGAGTCCCGGGATCGAGTCCCACATTAGGCTCCCTGCTCGGCAGGAGTCTGCTTCTCCCTCTGACCCTCTTTCCTCTCGTGTTCTCTATCTCTCATTCTCTCTCTCTCAAATAAATAAATAAAATCTTTTTTTTTTTTTAAAGAAAAAACTCAGAAAATAGGCTGGGGTCAGATAATGAAGGGTGGGGCATATAAGAGAAGGGATCTAGGTCCCAAGGGTGGCTGGGAGCCGTAGCAATGGAAGATCATAGGAGTCTTAATACATCAGCCTAACACCACCAGGAACATAGTCGGACAAAGTCAAGTTATTGACCCATTGTGATGATGGAGACCACACAAGAGAGAAACCGTGGAGCATTTTGACAAACAAAGGAAAAGGTAGAGTTATTATAGGATCTGCAGGAAGGATAGAATTTAGATGACAACTAAATGATAGGCTCAAAGCAAGGCAGGTCAACATCAGGTGCAGACTGAAGAGCAACCAGGGTCTTGTACCCTTGGAAACTACAAGGTGAATCTAGATGTGGAGTAGTGGGTCCAGAAAGCCTTTATGTGAAGCTCTGCACCTAGATTGGAAATTGAAGCTGCTACTCTGTTTCAAATGATTACAGGCAAGAGTGGGATGTTTCATTTTTACTGATAGAATTTTCAACACTTTATGATTTTAGGGAACAAAGTTTCTCTGTGAGAAAGAAAGCATGTCCTTGGGGGAAATCGTTTTTCCTATTAACTTTGAAGCTAATTTTATCTGTGCCTGTTATTCCAGTCCAATGAATTAGCCTTTCCTGTGCCTTAATGACAGAGAAGAGAAGAAAGGGCTTTTAATGCGGCTACAGACCTCTAAACAGTACAGCCGTTGAGTAATGGGGAGAAAACTTAGCTAGTTCTGAAGTCAAAACTGTTTATAATAACAAAGATGCTACATTGGAACTGTGAAGCCCACCTCCAAGATGGCCCCTGACGATTTTAGTCTCCGGGTATTCATGCTCCTGTGTAGTCCCCTCCCACACTGAAGAGGGCTGAGCAGCGTGATCAATAGGATATAGTGGAAATAAATGACAGAGTGTGACTTCCAAAGTTAGGTCGTAAAATTTATTGCAGCTTCTGTTTTGCTCTCTCTTGGATCGCTCGCTTTAGAGGAAGCCAGCCACCATGTTGTAAGGACACTCAAGCAGTCATCTTCCAGAGAAACACACGTGATGAAGAACCAAGTCCGTCAGCCTTGTGAGTGAACCACTTTGTAAACACAAGCCCCAGCTCTAGTCAAGCCTTCAGTTGACAACACTCCCTACCAATGTCCTGACTGCAACCTCAGGAGAGACCCTAAACCAGAAGCACCCTGCTAAGCCACTCATGGATTTCCAACCTTCAGAAATTGTGTGAGATAATATTTATTGTTGTTTTAAGCTGCAGCGTTTGGGAGCAATTCATTTCACAGTGATAGATAACTAAGACATCTAGGATAATTATGACCTATTTACAGATGAGGAAACTGAGGCTAGAGAAGGAGCTGAACTTTCCAAAGTTGCACAGGAGCTCTCAGGTGTCCAGCTTGACAGCTGTGTCATTTGGACAAAGGCTTTCTTACTCAGCCCCATTCATACGTCCAGCCTCTTCCATGTCCTCCCAGCCTCCAGTCCCTCCCCTCTAGTCCATCCCCCACATGGACTTAGAAGGGTCTTACTATACCAAGAGCTGACCATGGCCCTCCCTGCTCATAGCTCTCCCATGGCTCACTGGTAATGAAAAATCTCATACACATTTTTTTTAAAAGATTTATTTATTTATTTTAGAGAGAGAGAGACAAATAGCGTGGGCAGGAGGAGGGAGAGGGAGAATCTTCGAGCAGACACCCCGTTGAGCAGGGAGTCCAATACAGGGTCCCACCCAGGACCCTGATATCATGACCTGAGCTGACACTTAAGAGTTGGCTGCTTAACTGAACCACCCAGACGCCCCTGTCTTACACATTATTACAAGACAGTGAAACTGGGGAGGCTGGGTGACTCAGTTGGTTAAGTGTCTGCCTTTGGCTCAAGTCATGATCCCAGGGTCCTTGGACTGAGCCCTGGGTTGGGGCTCCCTGCTCAGTGGGGAGTCTGCTTCTCTCTCTCACTCTGCCCCTCCCCCCGTGCTCTCTCTCTCTCTTTTTTCTCCCCTGCTCTCTCTCAGATAAATAAAATCTTTTTTTTAAAGATTTTATTTATTTATTTATTTGAGAGAGAGAGAGAGAGAGAGAGAAATGGCATGAGAGGGGATAGGGTCAGAGGGAGAAGCAGGCTCCCCGCCAAGCCGGGAGCCTGATGCGGGACTCAATCCCAGGACTCCAGGATCATGACCCGAGCTGAAGGCAGTCGCTTAACCAACTGAGCTACCCAGGTGCCCTCAGATAAATAAAATCTTAAAACAAAAAAGGACACGGGATGCCTGGGTGGCTCAGTCGGTTAAGTGGCTGCCTTCGGCTCGGGTCACGATCCTGGGGTCCTGGGATCGAGTTCTGCATGGGGCTCCCTGATGAGGAGGGAGCCTGCTTCTCCCTCTGCCTGCCACTCTCCCTGCTTGTTCTCTCTCTCTCTCTGTTAAATAAATAAATACAAAATCCTAAAAAAAAAAGGACAATGAAGATAATAGAATCTGCTACTTATAGTACATCCAAAGAGGAGAGAGAGAAACTGATATTTTAAAACCCTTCTGGTACGTGCACCCCAATGTTTATAGCAGCAATGTCCACAATAGCCAAACTGTGGAAAGAGCCAAGATGTCCATCGACAGATGAATGGATAAAGAAGAGGTGGTATATATACACAATGGAATATTATGCAGCCATCAAAAGGAATGAGATCTTGCCATTTGCAACGACGTGGATGGAACTGGAGGGTGTCATGCTGAGTGAAATAAGTGAATCAGAGAAAGACATGTATCATATGACCTCACTGATAAGAGGAATTCTTAATCTCAGGAAACAAACTGAGTGTTGCTGGAGTGGTGGGGGGTGGGAGGGATAGGGTGGCTGGATGATAGACATTGGGTAGGTTATAGCAGGAGGGGAAGAATGAAGGGGAGTAAGTCGGAGGGGGAGACGAACCATGAGAGACGATGGACTCTGAAAAACAAACTGAGGGTTCTAGAGGGGAGGAGGGTGGGGGGATGGGTTAGCCTGGTGATGGGTATTAAAGAGGGCACGTTCTGCGTGGAGCACTGGGTGTTATGCACAAACAATGAATCATGGAACACTACATCAAAAACTTATGATGTAATGTATGGTGATTAACATAACAATAAAAAATAAAAATAAACTCTTCTAACAAAGAAAAATATAACTTACAGATATTTTAAAGTCATAGATTTATATTACATGATATAAGTTATAGGTGGAATCTGGATGTGGCTTACCTGGGTCCTCTGTTTTACATTCTTTCCCAAGGCTATCAGAAAGGTGTCAGCTGGGGTTCTGGTCTCATCCAAAGTTTCAACTGGGGAAGGATCCATTTCCAAGCATGCTTACGTGGTTATTGGGAAGACTCAGTTCCTTGAGATATGTTGGACTGAGGACCTCAGTTCCTTGCTGGCTGCTGGGCACAGGCTATCCTCACTTCCTTGTCATGGGATCTCTTCATAGGGCAGTTCACAGCATGGCAGCTGGCTGCATCACAGTGAGCAAGCAGGAGTGCAAGCAGGACTGAAGTCAGTCTATTATCACTTAGTCTCAGAAGGGACATCCCATCACTTCTGCCTTTACCAGATCACTAGATCCAGCACACCCACAGGAGAGGGGAGACACAAGGACATGAAGACCAGGAAGTAGAGGTCATTGAGAGACACCATAGAAACCAGTTGCCCCACCAGGAAAAGAGGAACCCTTTATGTTGTGGGTGCTAAGTTATTCAGAAGCAGTGGGCCCTGGTGGCTGACCTAGGAAATTTTTCGTGTCTTTCTAATCCTTCTAGCTTGTGACTCCACCATCCGCAAACATGGCTTCCATCTCATGGTGTAAGACGGACACGCCAATGCCCAACACCACGTCTCTACTCCAGTACCAGGTAGGATTTGGGGGTTCCAGTTTTGCTTAGACATGTTAAAAATGAATCCATCTCTCATGTTGTAAAAGTTGTGATATCAGGTGTTTCAGATGTTCTGGTTAGCTATTGCTGTGTAACAGATCATCCCAGAGCTTAACAGCTTCAAATCACAGGAATCATCTTATTATCTTGCACAGTGCTCGCTTCGGCAGCACATATACTAAAATTATTATCTTGCACAGGCCTGTGGGTAATGGAATTGGGGAAGGCTTAG